CTGGGATACCCAGTTCGAAACTAAGAAGACTACTATAATCAGTTTCACATCTTCGGCTTTTATTTGCCTCTTAACCATTTCCCCGCCCTTTGGAGTACTCACTCTGGCGCTGGGATAATTAACAAGAAGGGAATTGATGTTTGTATTTACATTCATTGGAGAGGAAGGGATTACAAGAGAGTAAGCAGGCACACAATGGGGAATGCACCAGGCTGTTTGCATAGTGTGTTCGCAGCTGCTGGAGCCATCACATTCCCCATTGTGTGCCTGCTTACTCTCTTGTAATCCCTTCCTCTCCAATGAATGTAAATACAAACATCAATTCCCTTCTTGTTAATTATCCCAGCGCCAGAGTGAGTACTCCAAAGGGCGGGGAAATGGTTAAGAGGCAAATAAAAGCCGAAGATGTGAAACTGATTATAGTAGTCTTCTTAGTTTCGAACTGGGTATCCCAGCATTGCTGGGGTGAGTGTTCCAAAGGTTGGGGGAGTGGGGAAAAGAAAAGCACAGTCACATTCACATGATTTCCCAGCTAGCGACTGCTCCACTCAATGACCAAGTTGCCGGTCCCAGTTGTGGTAGCTAAACGAGGACTACCTGTAATCTGGCCTGGGACAAAGTTGCTTTTCAGCAGCAACCTGTTTTGTTAGTGTTATTTAGAGCATCAAAACTCAAAAGGTACTTCCAACACATGTTTGGAGAGCGGACAAGATAATGGCAGGCTTTATATACAGGGGTGTAGTAAAGTGGTCCTTACCTCAAAGAGACTCAGAACTTTTGCCAAACAGTATAGAATCGATCCCCTTTGAGTCTACAGAAAGATCAAAGTGGGGTGGGTGAGTGGAGGACAAATCAACATTTTCAGAACTGTTTTACGCTACAAAAAATTTTTTTTTTCTTTTGAGCTTGCAAGGATGGATTTTTTCATCGCTTTTGCAATTTAACCTGGAAACAGTCAAATGAAGATGTTTATCGGGATGAGTCGGCCCATTCTAGTTCTACAAAACATTGCTGCTGTTGAGAAGTTCTGGGGAAGCATTTAAGCCCTTCTATGAAATCAGAATTGGGAAATTATCTTATTAGCATCACATAATTCATTCCTGGGAATCACCAAGTGGGGAGAAGCAGCGGAAACGGTTTCAGGAAGCAAACTGAGGCGGTAGGAAGAGAAACGATCTGGAAGAGCAGCAGACGACAGAGGTTGTCGAATTGCTTCTTGGCCTTTGGGCTAAGATCCGGCATAGCTTCTCAAAATAGCCGGAGAGAAAAATCAGTGTCCGAGGACATCGCTCCTCTATGCATTTACACAGGAGAAGGACCGCTGAAGTCAACGAGGGTTAACACAAGTTGACAGTAGACCTGCACTACAAGCTTTCCTCTTCTAGACCTGACGCACAAGGATGAAATCTACCACAATTTTCCTCCATCAACCAAAACATTATGGGTTTTATGCCCATCAATGACTATTCATTGTTCTATTGCACTACCCTCAAGACTGTTTATGTCTAGGCCCTTTCTGGCAAAGGCACCCATGTTGTCTTGGAATAGAAAAGGTTAAGCCACCCCTTTCTAAGCACACCACTGTGCTGTGGACAGCTATGCCGTATCGCTGCATATACTGTAATAACAGAGCGCGATTTGGATGGGAAAGCTATGTTACAACGTGATTCGTCTAAAAACAGAATGTCAAACATTAGAAGGCATCTCTGTTTCACTCCCCTCTCCATCTATTTGATGAGTCAATGTCCCAATTAAAGCGATACCCATTTGTGTCCTTACACAGTTAATAAATACAAAGTAAAGACAATTGGCACTATTTACCTGATTTAGATGATGGGTTTATCAACTTTTTTACGGTTTTATCAGATTTTTGCTATACCAAGGGAGTGATAAGCATATGTGCTAATGCTTGTAGCTCCCCTGGTATAGCAAAAATCTATCTGTCTGTCTGTCTGTCTGTCTATCCTCTTCTGAAATAAATAAGGACCAGAAACTTAAACAAATAAAGATTCTCAGGATTTGTACTGCATGGCTAGTACTGGTCATTGCAATTTCCTCCCTTGATCGTACAGATGTTAACTTCTCTGGATACCAGATTACTGTGACCAGAATGTAGTACCGTGTTCATTGTCCACTCTAGGCTGAAGACAGCAATAGTTCAGTTCTGCAAGCAGTGTGAATCGGAGACCGAAAGCCACAGCACAAGCCGGCTTACTTTTTGTTGCTGACACTCTCTTTGGAGGCTCTCGTAGACCACGGCCTTGCAACAACTCCCACCCAGAGACCAGGGGGGACGGATGAACAGCCAGGCAAAAGGGGCCGCAGAGACGTTCAAGCACTCGGTCAGGCTGAAAAAGTGTGATGCTTTGAGCCCGTTCACTTCTGCACGGCCTTCGTCAGAAACAGATGCTAAAAAGAGAAAAAAAAAAGGTGGGGGGGGGAATAAACCAGGAAGGTTATTGAATTCAAGTTTATAGATGCAGGATGAAACTTCAACTACCAGCTTTTGGACAGCGAAGTCTCATAATTGCTGCTCTTGCTGGTGCAGTGCAAGAGATTCACAAAGTGGGACCGTCTATCCCCGGGGGTTTCTGCCTATCACACTAGGTCTGGCAAGGTGGGCATTCTCCAAGTTTCCTTGGTGAAACAGGGTCAGCTGGTGGGGCCTCGGAAGTGTGCTTCTCTGTCATGGCGCCTGCCTTCCCCCAGAGATTTGGATGGCCCTGACTCTGTTGGCCTTCAGGAAGTCAGTGAAGACCTGGATTTCCCCCAAGCACTGGAAGGAAGGAAGGAAGGAAGGAAGG